GCTGGGAGGAGTGAGGAAGCAGACAGGCACCCTTTTCACTGGCCAACAGTTAACTGAAAGTTCACATTTTGCACTTTCCCTGCCTCCCACGTGGTTTTTTTCAGTTCTTAACTCAAATCTAAGTATGTAAGTCAAGTCAATATTTTCCTATGAGAGTGGTTTGTAAGTCAAAATGTTCTTAACTCGAGCCGTTCTTAAGTCAAGACCCCACTGTACTGTTCACAAGATATTATTGAATGAGTCTATTGTGTTTGAGAAACCAGATTGACAAAAGGAAAATATGTCCATGGTCTGGATATCAACCATATATATAAAACTCTAAACATTGGTCAAGAAGCTCAGAAAGAAATAGTTTTCATGCCATATAGTCCTAAAAGAAAATGCAGGATAATTGTTTATATATATATATAATTGTTTATGGTATTTTTAGCTTGTTAGTATTGTATGATTTCAATTGCTGTAAACCACCCTGGATCCACCGGGGAGAAAGGCAGCATATCAATAATGTATATATAAATATATATATATATACACACCCACACACCAGCTTAGGAATGTAGCTTTATATTGGGTCACACCGTTGGTTCATCTAGTCCAGGACTGGCAATGCTGGCTGGTAATGAGTCTCCAGACCTCCTCTGTTTATCTCTGGAGTATATGAAGAGGGAGGATTACTGATCAACATGGAGAAATATGCCTCACGCCACAACAGCTTTTCTCTGGATTCTAACAGAAGCCAGCCCTGATCAATCACAGTCAAATTCAGTTCTGACTATTCATTTCTGCATATTAAGGCCAAATTCGCAAGATAACACAAAACATGCTTGAAAACAAACTTGTGTATCCTTTCCCCACTTCAAATGCCTATTGATGATCAGTTTTGCCTCTAGATGTTGGTTTTTTGTGAAACCCATGGCCAATTATGAATATGCAGCTGTGGCGATGGTAACACCCAAACGATGCACCGTTCTCTGGGGTTTTTCCCCTCTCTATGATATTCTTTAATAAACTACAATATTTTAGCTAGGGGGATGGGCAGATCTGTCTGGTATGATTCCCCCCCTTTCCCTTTTGTTTCCACTGAATCTATGAAGCTGTTTCCATTGGACACAGGAAGCTATATGCACATTTTAATATGTTCTTGTGGGAAAATTAATCACACACATTTCTTGCCCAGCTGCAGTAGTCAAATTCTGCTGGTATAGATAGAGCAATTGACATTGTAACTACCTGCCATGCACCTGTTAAAGATAAGGAGCCTTCCGGAAGGAGAAAAAGAGATGGATCATTCCTTTTTATGACCTTGGTTGAATACATAGGGATCCAAAGTCAGAGTGACCAGTTTGTCTAGATAGGCAAATCTGCAAATTATGCTGTCTTTTCTTTTGATTGTTGTGGGTTTTTCAGGCTCTTTGGACGTGTTCTGAAGGTTGTTCTTCCTAACGTTTCGCCAGTCTCTGGGGCTGGCCTCTTCAGAGGAACAGGAGGAGAATATGCCGGCCACAGAGACAGGCAAAACATCAGGAAGAACAACCTTCAGAACATGGCCAAAGAGTCCCAAAAACCCACAACAACCATTTGATCCCAACCATGAAAGCCTTCACAAATACGTACACTGTCTTAATTTCCAGTCTTTTCTGCTAGATGAACGAAGAACAGTGGCAAACTTTGGAAAGTTCTTGCAAATGAAAAAAGAACAAATTCACACCCATGTTGATGTTCAGCTTTGGTTTCCCAAAGTAGGATCCTACAGGGGCCGCAGACTGGTAAGAGGCATAACAAGGCAGGATATGGACAATGTACTCAGGTGCATTATCATTTTGAATGAGTCCCATCATGCTGCATTCAATTAAACTGAATTTAGTCCAAGAACTTAAGAAGAGGAAGACCAAGGGCTACCAGATGGTGAGCTGCAATACTAGAGGCATGTCATATTCTCAAAGTGGACAAGAAGGCATAGGATTCAACCATGGATCTGACACGACCTCATCTAAACCAACTCAGGAACACCCTGATTGTGGGCATAATCTCAACTGCTGTAAAAGGTATTTCTTCTGTTTTTCTTGGATGAACTTCACTATGGAGAAAAATGTTGTCCCACAGCAGGTCTATCCTACCTATTACATTAAGGCTAGTCTTCCACCTTCTTTACACAGGTCTATCCTACCTATGCTCACTCAGTAATAACTCCAATAGAATTAAGTGGGGTTTATTCCAAGGTAAGTTGGTGTAGGATGGCAGTCTTATCCCATAAAAATAGCTGGGCATGAGCTAAGAAATAGCCCAGATCACTCCCTTGCCCCACAGCTGATCCATGCCTTTCCTGAAGGCACGGCTCAATGAGGACACTCTGGTGCCAATTGTATCAGATTGGCAGTGCCAAACAAACTCACAGATGGGTCACACACTTTGCAAGTTGAAGGTTGCAAGCACAAACCTCCCCATCTGTGATTTGTGGGGGCCAGACGAGACATCTTCCTTAGACCCTGGGCAAGTCCTCCCAAATTGAATGTATAATACAGTGCTCGATAAAACAACATCCTGCCAGTTTGATTGATATTGAAGTCTGTAACCCAGAGGAGACAATAACCTGTGATAGCATGCACTCACCATCCCTAACCACAGGATTTATTCCACAGAATAATGCACGGTTTTTACCACCGGTATACACCTAACTTGCCCTTCTTCCTGTCCCTGTCTCTCACACTCTCTGTCAAACACACACACACACAAACACACATATACCGGCAAGATATTTTTCAGAGCAATTTAACTGAGGGATTATACATATGCACAGAAGGTTGAGGTTTTTTTAAAAAAATGGATTATCTACTGCTGTGTCAGTGCCTTCTTTAAGCTACTGCCCACTTTTATCACGAAGCACTAGATAGGGATATTTATTTACCATCACAATACATGCCATCATGCCCTTACCTCCATCAGCTCCTATATATACATTTGCACCCTAACCCTTTTTTTACTCTGTGATATGTGTTTGGTTCTCTTGCCCCACCCCCCACCTCCCCAAAAAAAGAATCATGATGGTAAGAGTGGGGAGTGGAAAGAATTATTTTCTCTGATTTGGGAAAACAGACATTGCTGAGAAAAATTAAATCCTTATGACTCCTTTAAAATGATTAGTCAGTACGGCAGGAAGACATGGAAACAGTAGGAAGACAGCCAAGGGCAGAGAGTTGCCAAATTGAGGATGGGGTAGGCTTTTTACCTGGGTCTTCTTTGGTTCATCTGCAGTGCACTGTGTTCTCCTCTCTTTCTCTGCCTCCTTTTCTACCTGCCCATCTTCCAGAAAACGATGACAGCAGTGGAGCGGCTCCCGCATCTCATCCTTGGTAGGGGCTGAAGTGGTTTACAAAGCCAGCTTGTTAAATTGCAGTCAGTGCTACCAGGCTCCGTCTTCGAGCAAGGCTCCCGGCTGCTGTTCCTGGTACTGATGATGTTAAGAAGGAGGTGGAGTATGAGTGGGGAAGGGGGAGGAGGAGGATGCTGTGGAGGGTGCTGATGCTGTTGCCATGGCGACGGTACTCAGCAGCCCTACACAGTGCAACAGCTGCTAGAACTCCTGGTTCTTTCGCAGGCAGGACCCAAGGCTGGTTGGCTTCATTACAAGATGAAAGTAATCACCCTGCAGAAGTCTTCATTTCAGCAAAGACTTCTTCACAGTTTGCATAGAGGTAGCAACGATGGGTCCATAACTATGTTCCTGACAAGGGTTCAGGGTGTTCAGCATGTGCTACAAAACAAAAACAAAAAAACAACAGCAGAGTTTGGAACAAGAGCCTTAGGAAAAGTGCCTTGAAGTGAATTTCTTGCTGTCCTTCTCTTGTTCCAGTCTTGGGCAGGAACAGGACAGCTTTTGTGCACCGTCCCTTAGATGTTTTTACACAGCAGAGACTGGAAGTGAATAGAAAAATGACAATGAAAAGAACAAAGTGGGTGGGCTTTCCAGGAAGACGCTTGTAGTTTATCCTAGCAAAAGTCTATGGTGGAAGAAAAGCAGTGTCTGGTAGCCCACACTGGGAGAAAAATCCACATACTGCCATCAGTCTAGAATCAGTGACTTGCTTCAACAGGAACAGCCAATTGGGACGTGATGTGGATGATCCATCATCAGATCTCTTGGTTTCTTGTTTAATTAGAAGCTGTCGGGGGGGGGGGTTGTAACACCAGGGAAAAGGGGCATTGCTTTTCACCCCAGGCGATGGTGACTTTCATGGTACTGTAAATGAACCCCATATGGGGAGAATGGCAAGTCCCTGGACTGTTCTCTCCTGTCTCTCCTTATCACTGCCTCACAACAATTTCATGTTGATCTGCACTGGAATTTGACATGGAGGAAAACATTACCTCCAGAAATACCATCATCCCAATCCACCTCCCTTTCCCTTTTCAGTGACATCTCTCTCTCTCTTTTCTGTTGGCTCCTAAATTAGGAACAGGTTGAGCCTGTGCTGGAAAATTTCACAGATCTTTATTAATCCTCATTTCAGGTGCCAAGCAGTGAGAAACTTGGGGTTGTGTAGCCACTATTGATTGATTGATTGATTGATTGATTGATTGATTGATTGATTGATTGATTGATTGATTGATTGATTGATTGATTGATTGATTGATTGATTGATTGATACCCCACTCCTCTAGACCATGTCCACTCGTCATCTCCCACTGTGGACGTCCCCTGTTCTTATTTCTCTTCTTCTTCATGTGCCCATCAAAGCATGAAGACAAACGGTGAGCTTGTCTCTCCTAAAAAAAGAGAAGGTAGTTGGGAAGTCAATGTCAAACAAGGTACCCTCAGTTGATCCCAGTTTTTGTTGTTTTCTTTTAAATCAACAACCCGGTTGGAAAAGGGCTCCAAATTGGATTGCCTGGGGTCTGGTTTTAGCCTGATCAAAATCTGGTGAAGCTGCAAAACCACATAGAAGTTGCTCTGAAATAAGAACAAAAGAAGGTTAATCATTTTGAGCAAATGCTGCAGTCCCTGCCAAGTCCCTGGACTTTGGGCAACGTGACCGGCTCTTTGCCCTCCACCCGGGAGGTCCCTGCTAAGTCCCTGGACTTTGGGCAACGTGACCGCCTCTTTGCCCTCCACCCGGGATAGAGTGAGACTGCCTAAGTATCTCGACACTGGCAAGGGAGAGAGGGGGGAAAGCCTAAAGTACTTAAAGGGCTTTCCCTCCTCACGCCGCCCTCTTCTTTTTCGGGCACCTACCCGCCCTCCCTATTTCTAGTCTGAGTTCTTCTGGTCACCTTTAAGGGGCCACATAGGAATTTTTGACCTATGATGGGGAGATTTTTTGCCTATCCTACACTGGAAGAGGGTTGTTGGCAATTCAGTGGATAATTTTTGGTCATATGGCCAAGGTAGCATGGAAATAACAGGTATTTTTGATGAGTCCCAATGTAATTTCAGGTAAGCCAACAGCCCATCCGACCTCCCGGCACTGCGGATCGTGCGATTACAGGGCCGGTGGTGGGAAGATGCACTGGGCCACTTCTGGACCAACAGTTATCAGCTAAAGATGGCTTAAGGTCTAGGTGTGTTTATTAGTAGCTGGCCGGGTTCTTTAAACTACTGGAACTAGGGGCTGGGGACTCACCCATTTCTTGATCAAGGAGTATTTGGATACCCCTGCCATTTACCTTTTTCCACACTACAGCAGGCCCCCTCTTTTTGCCAAAGGATGGCAAATTTCAAATTTGGAATTTATCAATAAAGTGTGGCCCGTATTTAACCCATATCACTGTCTCGCATCTTTATTCCGGGTTTGGGTGGGCAATGGTCTCTGATCTATTGGCTGTCTTTCTAAGCACCGAGTGTTACCTGCCAGAGTGGCAGCCCCTGTATGTCTCTGTCTGTGATCCACCTGGACCCTAAAAAGAAACCATTTTCCTCCCCCATTACATCCACAACTCTAGGAGGCAGGTGTTGTTTCTCAGGGGTATCATCACTGACCTCTTGACTCCTCCAGAGGTGAGATGCCTATTCAGTGTGCCTACAACACCTTGCTGGGCATTGGTGGAAGAAACATCAGTAATTTAAAATATGCAGATGACACCATCTAACTGGTAGAAAGCAACAAGGACTTGAAACAAGTATTAGGAAAGTGAAACAAAATGAAACAAAATGCCAAAGCAGGGTTGCAGCTGAATGTTAAGAAGAAGAAAAAATCATGACAACAGAAGACCTACACAACTTCAATGTTGACAATGAAGAAATTGAAACAGAAAGCGTGGTTCAAGCATCACTGCAAATGGAGACTGCAGCCAAGAAATCAGAAGCCTCAGACTAGGAAGGGCAGCAATGAAGGAAATTTGGGAGAAAGGAGAAAGGAAAGGAGATGATAGTTCAACACGCTTTCTATTTATCAAGATGAATCCTCTCAAGGTGGCACGTTAGCCTTTCATAGATTCTAAAAACCTATCAGAGTTGTTCTCTGCACTATGTAACTGAGACAACCACCACTTCTTTCAGATGCCTTTTCTGTATATTCACACAAAATGCCTCTGAGCAACATCAGTGTCTTTCCCCCTTTGTGGGGCTAAGAATACACCAACGAACAGCACACCCTCAGCAAACATAAGGGGATCGATTGGTTAATCGTGAAAAGACCCAGTCAAGCCCATGCTAATTAGATTTACTGGTTTATTCAGGGCATGTGTTTCACATTTTCTGGCAATCTACACTTGACACAAATGCAGAAAACTCTTATTTCCCCAAACCTCAACATCTCTTGGAGACTGACACCCCCACCCCCCAACACTTCAAGATCTTGTGGCAAAGGGAATGTTGTGTTTGTTGATTGCCATTTTCTTGTTTATGCATCACTATGAACTGACTTACAGCCTGGGCAGGAGAGTGGCTGCAGACAAAATAGCAATGATGAAGAAAGGGGGAAAAGCCTGGTTTAAAGAAGTGGCATTGTATAAATGACAGTGTAGGGGATGGCTCCATACCTCTCCCCCCCCCCTCACAACCTGCCTCTTCTTCTCTGCAGATCACTACATATTCCACCCCCTCTTCTCCAGAGGCGTCAGGCACTACAGGATGAACACAAGGCTAATTTGATTAGGAACCTATTCAGACACTTCTTGATATCTTTCAGTGATGGAACCCGAACAAATCCTTTTGAAATTAATTAAAGCAAAAGCAGGAGAAAGAGAGAGGGGAAGAACTGTAGGACTTAATAGGCTAAATATGAACCTGAAGACCTGCCAAAGAACCCATAATTGTTCAAAATGATTATTCACAAAGTGCAAAAGCTTTACTTGTTTTATTGCGTTCCTTACCATTTATCTCAGCAAGAAAGTACTTTGGCTGGATTTCATAGAACATTTTGATGATGGTGATGGAAAAAAAAAAGTTTGGTATAGGCAGTTCCCATGGTTGCTGGCTCCAGAAAATTAGAAACCGCTTACCTTTCTGAAGGACTCAGTTCTTTGAGTGCAGTTCTGTTTCTTCACATTATACATTTCTAAATGTAGTTACAAATCAAACTATTCAAACTAGCAAAATCCATCTGGCTTAGTTCATGTAATATCTAACTTGGAAAGTATAACAGGGCAGATTGGAACTCTGGGGAGTCGCTTTCCGAGATTGTCACGTCAAGTGTCAGAACCTGTGGAGAAGGGTTTTGGGGAAGCGGACATGAAAATCAGAGTGTTAAGCATAACATGAGCCAACAGAGAAGACTTGCAAGAATGTGGTAGTTATAAAGGAAAGCCAGGAATCATGTCAATCTAGTAAGTGTCCAGAGTTATCTTAGGAAAGTCATCATAATGCAGCTTATCTGAATAATCTATGGTTGTGTGTGCATGCTTCCAGTTCCTTTATGGGTAGCAGTGTGTTGAATGAACCCAAGGCTTGAAATGTACAAGCTCTAAAAGGATAAGTTTAATGAGACAAACAAACCTTTATTTAGATTAGGCATCCTTCAGTCTCAAGAGACTGTGGTAATGTGCTCTGAATAGAGGTCTTGGAACAGTGTCTAGTGTGGCTGAGAAGGCCAATCCAAGAGTGACAATCCCTTCCACACTGAAGACGAATACAATCTGTCCCCTGTCCAGCTCCCTGATTTTGCTGGTTTTGGGACTGCTTCTTTGCCTCAGCCTGCTGAACAAGGGTCTCTTCAAATTGGGAAAGGCCATGATGCACCGCCTTCCTTAGGCCTTCAGATCCTGCTTAGAGATATCCTTGTGTTGCAGCTGTGGTCTCCCTCTGCGGTGCTTTTCCTGCACTAGTTCTCCATACAGGAGATCTTTTGGAATCCGACCATCAGCCATTCTCACGACATGCCCAAGCCAACATAGACATTGCTGTTTCAGTAATGTATACATGCTAAAAATTCCAGTTTGATGTAGGACTGCTCTATTTGAACTTTGTCCTGCCAGGTGATACCAAAAATGCATCATCAGAGACAACACATATGCAATGTGTTCAGCTTCCTCTCCTGCCGTGCATGAAAGGTCCAGGG